CTTTTTTATAGTGTTTTTCAGCTCAAATGTTTACAATGATTTTGACATTAAATAGGAGTTGCCTGAAATAATACCTCAGAGGAGTTTTTTGACAAATGCAGACCTGTCAGCTCTGAAGTTGAAAGGAGGTTTCATCACACCTTGTATCTCGCACAACATTCTCTAGGTTGAGACAGGAAACTAAAGAATCAAGACCCTTTCTGGAACTTATTACACATGTGCAATGAGATTTGCCTTTAAACACAAGATAATTGGTTCAATTACACCTGCAATTGCCAATTTTACTTCCAAGAAATATTGGCTTTTAGATCAAGCGTGCTGTAAGTATTTTCTACTGTCCTTTACTTCACAATTTTTCTCCTTCTGCAGTTCCAAAAAATCTAAGCCTCGTGATGGACATGATTTGAAATATGTCATCATTACCAGGATAGTTATCTCCCACTCAGAATCAGAAACACTATTTTTTTAATCTCATTTTTTTAACTGTCAGTATAGATTAAATTGGGTATGCACTTAAGGAAGTCAGTGTTTCACTACAAAGCATGTGTGTGCTTGCAGTTCGAAGGCAGCTCAGTTACTCTGAATGGGGCCTGAGGGACTTTTAAATGAAACACAGATTTCAGTTTTCAGAAGATGCTGCTTTTATTTTTTTCCCTGGACTTGCATAATGAATCAACATGCTTCCAGCCTTGGCTGTGACATGTCCTAAGGCAGATGCTTTTAAGCTGCATTCTTTTAAATCTGCATGTATTCTAGTAATTTGACACTGGTTTCTTCCTGATGCAAGAATCCTGAGAATGAAAGCTTCTATCCACATAATCAAAATCATTTTTCTATGCAGAGTTAAGGGGCTTTTTTTGTACTTCTAAAGAGTCACTGCTAGAAATGAAGGTGCAATATTAATGGCTCATGGCATGAATTTCCCTCTCCCTACTTCCCACTTCACCTTTTCAACCCACAATGGAATTCTAATCTGCTCTCAGTAGGAAGGCAGATGATCTGTCACAAGACACACCAAAACATTTAAACACTACTAAACACACACATATATAGACTAACGATTTTGTTCAGGTAGGTTAGGCAAATTTTGTTTTAACAAAGGAGAGATTATTTTATCCTTACTTGTTTTCAAATAAAGATGTGATATCAGTTTAGAAGACCAAGGATTACCAGGGGTATAGTTAAGACTCTTCAGCTAAAGCCTCACTTTTACATTGCCTGAGTAGTAGATACCAGGTGTAAGAACACTGTGCAAAGTAGGGCAGGCACTTACTCCTTCACTTTAAAACAGGGCAAGGTGGTACAGTGAATACTTATATAGAACTCACAGAAGTAAGTACTCTATTGAAATAGCTTCTGCTGCACTAGAATTCAAGTTACCTCTAGGACTCTTCACAACCGTTACCTTCAGTGGATCAAGAATATGAAAATAGAGAGCCTGAAGTTTTGAAAAAATGCTCTAATAATAAACTTTACTTTCCACTTCCACTTTTGATACTTCTTTATGGATTGACTTGTACGGACACCTGATTTTCTCAAGCCCTTCTTAAGTTTGCAACATCCCTATACAATTTTGCATCCTGATGCAACCCTCCAACAGGCTTGGGAAAAAACACAAAGTTAAGAAAATGGTTGGACTGTTCCAGCCATCCCAGAAAATACTCTTAGACTATCCAGAAAAAGCAGAAATGGCCCTCCAGAGAAAAAATAGTTTCTAAAGTGGTAATAGCAGGGATAAAGCAGCCCAAATATTCGTCACTGGAAGAAATGAAAAGGCAAAAACATTTTTACCTTAGTACAAGCAGTAGTAACTACCTTCTCTGTACTGCTACTTACACAGCAGTTACAATTGCTGATGAGGGAAAAAATAGTGGTACAGTTGCTGATTTTACAAAGCACTTTTTGTTAGAAATTCAGCTAATCCATGGATTAATGCACAAACCACAATAAAGGCAGAATCAAAATTCTTGGAGCTCTACCAAGGTTAGATTAAGTGACCATATCATTCTCTACATCTGACAAAAACCATGAACTTTGGTGGTAAAATCAAAACCCTGTCAGAGGAAGCCAGAGCAAATACCACTGTAGGAAGTTTCCTTCCTCACAGTTCCACTTCCATCTTAGTCACATCCTTACATAGACAAAGAAGGACCTATAGAGCTTTCTACCTCCAAAAGTTTTTGCATTTTGCCTACTCATTTCCTAAGATAAGCATCACTGAAGTTAGATGAGGATTTGCTTTTATTTCCAGGCATTTCCAGAAGTTTAGCAGAGACTGAGTTATCTTCCACAAAAGTATTAACTTTATTTCCAATGCTTTCTGAGATGAAGAACTCGTTCAAGGTATTAAGGCTTTTAGGCTGTCCCTTCAGCAGCTGAATGCTTTTTGTAAGGGAGAACATAAAACGAAAAGATTCCAAGTGTCAGCTGCAAAGGGTGTAATACACTTATTTCTTAGGAAAAAAAATGCAGCCTTTTCATAATCTTGTGCAAGTTTTCTGCAGAAAGAGAAATAATTCCACCTCTTGGGTGAAGAGGGTCAGCCACTTCATGCTAATTCTGATCATACAGAATGAATAACTCAGAGTCACCAGTTTTAAGACCAGCAAGCATCAAACTGCCTTCCAAGGAAAAGGATAGAGGGGAAACAGGCACTCCTTGGCCACTTTTGCCAATCCATTGTGGGGCTTGGTTCACTTGCTGTGTAAACATGCATTGTTCCTGCCTGGTTACTAATGAGTGAGACAAATATTTCTTGTATCTAATATTTCTGCCAATTACTTCTATTCCTCAAGGAATAGATGTCTTCAGCTGGACTTTCATGCATCCTCTGCAATCTCTAAAAATACTCTGTATCCAGTGAGTGAGAAGAGAATTGAAAAACCTGACCTCAGAAGAATTCAATTTTATTTATGTGAGACTGTTATTGAACTGCCTTTGATGGAAACACTTGTATTTATCAGATAAAGCCTGTTTTCAAGGCCAGGGCAGATGGGGCCCTGGGCAATCTGACCTAGTGAGTGGCATCCTCAGCCATGGCAGGGGGGTTGGAACCAGATGATCTCTAAGGTCCCTTCCAACCCAAGCCTTCATGATTCTGTGATTCACTACAATCTGTTTTTTTAACACTTCTGAAAGAGAAAGGGAACGAGGCAATGTTTTTTGCATTGGGTTTGGGTGGCAAGGTTTGGGGCGGGGGCAGTACTACAGAGGTAGCTTCTCTGAGTAGCTGCCAGAAACTTCTCCTATGTCTGACAGAGCCAAAGCCAGCTGGCTCCAAAATGGGCCTGCAACTGGCCAAGGCCAAAGTCATCACCAATGGTTAGTAACACCTCTGTGGTACATATTTAAGAAGGGGGAAAAAAATTATTGGGCCGAAGTAATTGCAGCCAGAGAAAAGTGAGAATACGTGAGAGAAACAACTATGCAGGCACCAAGGTCAGGGAGGAAGGTGGGGGAGGAGGTGCTCCAGGCACTGGAGCTGAAATTCCCCTGCAGTCCATGACGAAGATCATGATGAGGTAGACTGTTCCTCTGTAGCCCATGGAGAACTCCACACCTGAGCAGGTGGATGCCTGAAGAAGGCTGTGACCCCATGGTAAGCCCACACTGGAGCAGGTTCCTGGCCGGATCTGGGGACCCGTGGAACGAGGAGCCCACATTGGAGCAGGTTTGCTGGTGAGGCTTGTGACCCTACAGGGGACCCATGCTGGAGCAGCCAGTCCTGAAAGACTGCCTCCTGTGGAAAGGGACCCACACTGGAGCCTTTCATGAAGAACTGCAGCCTGTGGGAAGGACTGACACTGGAGAAGTTTGTGGAGGCCTGTCTCCCACGAGAGGGACACGATGCTGGAGCAGGTGAAGGACTCCTCTCCCTGAGGAGGAAGCAGTGGCAGAAACAACCTGTGATGAACTGACCTGCACTCCACAGGGGAGGAGGTAGAGAATCAGGAATAAAGTTAAGTCCAGGAAGGAATGAGGGGGGGAGGAAGGTGTTTTTAAGATTTGTTTTACTTCTCATTATCCTACTCTGATTTTGATTGGTAATAAATTCTATTAATTTCCCAAGTTGAGTCTGGTTTTGCCTCTGACAGTAACCAGTGAGTGATCTCTCCTTGTCCTTCTTTCAACTCATGAAACTTTCCTTGTATTTTATCTCCCCTCTCCAGCTGAGAAGGGGAGTGATAGAGCAGCTTTGGGGGATGGATACCTGATACCCAGCCAAGCCAAACCAATATCCTTGAAAGCCAAGCAAAAAATTCCCCTATGACAGCTGTTCTTGAACAGAAGTCCACATTCAGGGAAAACAAAATGTATTGAGCTGTTTCTTCTTCATCTAGCCAAAGAAAAAATTTTCCCTGGGGAAAAGATGTTCCATCTCTCATTTATTCCAGCTAGAGGCAAGTCCTGAGAATTCTTACTTATGGCTGATACTCAGTCCAGACTCAGAACAAAGATCTGAACTTTTGGAGGCCTTTTAGAGACTGACATAAGGGAGTGAGACATTTGCTTCTGTGTGCTATCACTTAACAAGAAAGGATTACAAAATTTGGTATAATCAGAAAGGACAAATCCCAGTGCAACATGTTAGATAGCCTCCATTATTGTTCAGTTTAATAAACAGTAATTTTAGATTCGGCTAAGCATGCCTCCCTGTATCAGAAATTAGAAATCAGAAATAAGAAAATATAAACAGGAATGAAGTATTTTACAATGTAGGGCTGTCTGTAAAGTTATTTGATTCTCTAAGGTTGTAGCTCATTCTTTTCATTACTTGAGAATTTCTGTATCTCAGCAATTGTTAAAAGCACAAAGCAAATTATTTAAGACAAAATTTTAGCTCCATTTTGTCATTCCCTAACATGACCATCTTCCCCCCTTATACCCATGACTGTACATACACACAAATATGCCCTTTATACACAAAAAAGTGTACCACCTGATGTGTGTTTCTTCTAGCCTGCAAGACAAAGATTACTGACCATAGCTGAAAAGGTTACCTGGATCTGTGCTCTGTTTCCAGCTGTTATATTAGATATTGTCCAGCATGCTTCCTTTTTGATAGATTCTTTCGGGCTGCTTAGCAAGTGCAGTAAACTCTGCAGGGCTGAACAATTCAGAATTACCTGAATACAAAAGGAAAAACAAAACAAAACAAACAAACTACACCTTAGAAAAAAATTAGGATAAAGAATCACAGGAACAAGAATACAATGTCTCATCAGATGATCCCAAAAAGTTTTAATAAAAACCCCAAACCACCAAACATGAACAAAACAAAAAAATAGCAAGAACTAAGAAATAAATCTTAGCAGGAAAGCTAATAAGCAAAACAACTCAGTCATTCAGGTAGAAGATCACGCCTTTATAATGATTTCAGTTGTGACCTGAACACAAGAAGATAACAAGCCCATTATGACCAAACAAAAATAAGATGATGGTATTTTCCTGTATTTTTGTATACTTGTAAGCTCCAACTACTTCTGTTTTCCACATCAGCTGGCACTGTGGGGCAGCTGTTGCCAGTGTTGTGTCCAGTGACATTATGAATGGTAATTCTTATATGAAAAATTACAAAAAAATTGTAAAAAAACCCACAATTTTACAGAGCAGAAAAATTGCAAGAAAATTTCTATTTCCAAAAATCAAAATTTTAAGTGCTGAAAGTACAACAGAAAATGCCCCAGAACTTGGATGCCACAAGACAGATTATTTGATTATGTCATGTGTGATAGTGAAGGGCTTTTTGACATTCTAAAAGGCCACAACAAGGTTCAAAGACTGAAAAATGAACTTTTTTTTTAAAATTAAATTCCAACTTGTTACAATTAAGCTAAAAATTGGGAAAGTCTACCAAGAAGCAGAGCAGTTTTGCCTTGTGTGGCAAAAGCAGACAGCTTAGAAAGAACAGCATGGTAGAGAATTTTATAAGAAATACTCCAGTTGAGCTGAATCATAATCAAGATTTCTGATCATGGAATCTGTGGACTGAATTCACTTGTTCTTATGTCCCTGGGCCCATACTCTTCAAATTTTTCGACTAAGATTAAAAAAGCAAAGGTTATGGTTCAGGATTGTATCAGGTGTCTGCTGGGATAAATATACTTATTTCTTCATGCCCATTACTATGGTTTTAGCTATCTCCAAGCAGTGGCAATTGTTAACAGTTGGAAATGAGAGAAAAGAGAAAGCAGATTTGTGCTCTAAGATTGTACAGAGAAGTTCTCAGGCAACTGGCTTGTATGTTGCATTCATATTCAGAAATGTATTAGCTCTCAAAGCTGGGCTCTTCCTTCTGACTAATGATTTTTATATGCATCCTGTATCATTTTTTAGCATACAGCACAACCTTCGGGCAGGACCATCAAATTATCCTACTTAAACAGTTCTCTAGAATTTTAGGAAAGCTTATGGTATGCTCCTCTGAAAAAATCATCCACAACAAAAAAGCTTATAGATTTTTTTAGCTAAAATCTAAGATCTGTGCAGTATTTAATAACCCGTGTTACATTTTAATTAGTGATCCCTTGTGGTTTTATCTTCAATGAAATTATGAAATCACAAAACACACCTTAATCATTCTTTATGACTGATCTGTGAAACAAATGCCACTGAAAAAAGTACAAGAATGCCTATGCAATTCAGCTACACAAAATACATTGTAACAGTCAAAAAATCATCTTATCTTCCTCCTAGTGATAAGATATTCAAACAGTGCTCTGGTGCTGCTAACTCATCTTTAACTCAAACCTCACTGTTACAGAAGCATCCCGGTGACAACCTAGTGCTTCTGAGAAGCATCAGGTTTCCTGGCTCCCAATTTAATTCCAATGAAGTGGTGGGAGTCACTGCTTCCTACTGATGCTTCCCCAAACTTGTGCTCAGACACAGCTACATACCATCCAAAATCTGACCAGACACTTGTTTTTTGTATACTCATCCGAGATTCCCAACAACAGCATTCAATGTGACAGGCCTCAGATGGCCCTACCACGGCACATCACTCAGCATAAAATTCAGCCTAAGAGGCAGACCTGCTTTAAACAAACAAAAAAAACTACCCCACCCTTGAGGGGTATTGCACAGCTGTCTGTAAGTCCCAAACATAGCTACCTATGAATCACCAGCAGTTCAGGACTGAACAGAAAAACTGAAAACCACCACATGTTTTGAAGCAATTAGTGTCATCAATCCTCACTTTCAAACTTCAAAAGGAACAAGAGGAGATGCTTGTGAACAGGTTACCACAACTGACAGAAAGATGAACTGCAGTACAACACAAGAGAAAGTGAATCCATACCTGGGTCTGGATATCATCTCCTGTGACAATGTTGCCAACAGCTCGTAAGGCAGGAGATACAACTTTGTAGTCATTGTGCCTAGAATTGAAAAGAAAAATTAAAGTATTAACCATCCTGAGGCATCTCCATCTTTACATTCTCAAGGAAGGAACATCCATCAGCCAGAGGAAACTTCCCTGATAAGTCTGACTTAACTCTCATTACCTGAATCAAAACATTCTGATTTTAAACTAATGGTAAGCCTTTCTAGGGTTTCTAAATATTTAGGCCTTCAGACATCATTCAGCAGCATAAAAATAAAATATTAGAAGAATGCAAGTACTTCAAAGTTTAAGCATCCTTGGAAGGGAAAAATAATCAGCCTTAACTATAAAATATACTTAATGTAGCACACACAAAGGCAGAGAATGAGACAGAAAAATAAAGATAGAACCTGTGTGTTTAACTCATACAGCTGTTTGATCACCTTCTGTCATCATATGCATCCCTCCATCATCATTGTTAAATCAGGTTTAGAATAGGAAGGGTGAAGAAAGGAATTTTTTTCTCAAATGAAAACACTTGTTTATAAAAAGCTACTTACAGGCACTATGTTCTATTCATTAATCCAGTATCACATTCACTTTAATCTTAAAAACCTTAACAGTCTTTTTATTTACATCAGTGAAAACCATTATTCCTTTTTCTTAGGCAATTGAATGTTCCAGGTCCTGACCTTAGGCCTGAAGAAATGGCTTTGAACAAGGCCAGTCTCTGTGACTCCAACTCTCACAGTTACACCTTACTGACCAAAGTGTGCATATACTCTTCTACAGTAAGTGTTTAGGAAATTATTAATATTTCAAGTTCCTGGTACTGTCAATTCTAGTAAATTTTACTATTTCTTACATTTCTATCTTTGTTATCCTTTTGCAATTTCCTTTTAGGTAAATATAACATGGTCTTCAATAGCACAGGGAAAATTCCAGCATATATTATGGATTTTACAAAAGTGTAGCTGTTAGACGCAGGGGAAAAAATCTCTTAAGAAATATCAAAACTAGTAAAAGAAAAGTTCCATTGTTTCTGTTACTCATGACAAATAGAGAACATTGAACAGACAGGTAAAATTAAAGCTCACATCTTGCTCTTTGGAAAATTATGACATTTCAAGACGTATTTAATTGAACTTCCTATTGTTACAACCTTGATTTTAGGGAAAAGAGTAGACAGTAAGCTTGCTGATAACAAGTTTCTTACATTAGCAGTTCCACAAGTCTTCTGCAGACTCCTGCATCAATCACAGCCTGGATTTTATCATTGGGGCCATCAGACAAATAGGACAAAGCCCAGCAGGCATCAGCTAATACATCCGTATCATTGACAAAGAGCAGCCAGGAAAGCACACTAAGACAAGGTGAAACCTGTAAAATATTAAGAGGAAAGACATAAACCATACAATTAGAAGGGCCAATAGATCTATTATTATGTCAGCTAATTTTGTATGTGTCATTATAGGCTAGGCACTGGCATATTAAGGTTCAATACTTAGAAAATTTCAGACCTAGGTAGCACTTCTGTGCAGGGCTGTAGCTACACAAGCACAGAGGAGCATGTCTGCAGAAAAGCACTATGAGAATTCTTCAGCCTCTGCAGTACAAAGTCTTAAGTTGTTTACGGCAACTTAAACACATACTTGTCTGCTAAGATGTTACACACATTGCTCTACAGCAGCCAAGGTGTACAGTGGTGTTCTGCTAAGGGATGGTCATCTCCAGTACAGGAACAGCAACAAAGTTAAGAGGTAGCCATATGAAAACAGTGGTTGCGAATGTCTGCCCAAAAAATTTCATCTGTAAGAAGTCCATGGTATATTTCAGAATTTCTCTGACCCATTCTTTCCATTTTGTTTACCTTTCACCACCCTCACTGATTATTTGGCTAGCACCACTTCACAACACATTTCCTTTCAAGCAGCTCTTACCTTGGCAAAATCGGGAGGAGGATTTTTCCCTCTGCAGAGGTTGGATAGAGCCCATACAGCATTTCGAGTCATAGTGAGACGGTTCTGTTTTGAAAGTAATCTAAAACAAACAACAAAAAATTCCAACCCTTGCCTTTTAAAAATCAAAGCCAGGCAACCCTGTAGGGTCAACTAAGTGAATCATTAAAACAAACTCATTTTAACATACACCAGGGTAAAATACAGTAGGATTTTTTTCTATAAAATTACATTCTGAGGAAAATCATCCTTGATAGCTGGATACTAACACATATGCTAGATATAGGAATCTAGTATCCCAATAAGTAAAATAACCATTACACTAAAAGTGTGTTTACTTAACTGCTTAGATACCGATGTGGCACACCAACAGTCAAAAAGTACAAGAATTGTGACAAAATTACTCAAAGAAGGAGGATACGCAGGTAGTTTTGGAGAGTTCACGCTTAGCCAAACTGAATTTCTATGTCAGCCTCAGACTATGAGCCCCACTTTGGCATAGGAAAATGCAGAAAGGCAAGACCTAGTTTTCCCACAGGACAGTTTCTTTTTCCCACAGTTATCCCACAGTGTTTTTATGAGAGCACTGGAGAATTCTCCTGCTGCAAACAGAATCTGCAAAGGAGAGAGACTGAGTAATCGTAATTTGGACATGACAACACAAGATGGTGTCACTGTTTAAGCAATAATATGGTCCTTAAGCAGAGAACCATCAAGATAATTAGCAGACTAGAGAAATGGTATGCAATGGGATTTGTTCAGCCTTAGAAAGAGATTGTGTAAGGGGAGGTATAACTGCCGCTGGCAACAGTTTAACAGGCGGACAGAGAAAACAGGAAGCCAGATCCTTCTCACAGTTGCACAGTGACAGGACCAAGAGGCAACCATCACAAGGCAAAACAGAAAATTCTGATTAGGTATCAGAACACCACGTTTCACCATGCCACGGTCAAACACTGCAACAGGTTGCCACAGGTGGTTACGGAATCTACTTCTGATGTTCCAAATTTGACTGGTTAAGTAGTTGAGCAACCTAATCTGATCCACCTGCTATGAAGAAAGGCTTTGAGTAGATGACCTCCAGAGGTGTCTTTCAATTTAAATTATTCTGTGACTCTAAAATAAGCCCAGGTATCCACCCACACTGTAGTATAAAATAGTTCCAGCTTAGCTGCTTCTAAAACATGTTCCCATTTTAGGTTCTCTGGTAAAGTAGTTCAGGACTCCCCACTAAAAAGTCTGATCAGTCCACAATTAAAAAAAATATTATTATTCTTCAAGGCAAAAAAACCAAAATTTCAGTCTTATCAGACACTCAAGCAAAATTCTGGAAAACATATTAAAACAGACTTACTGCAATAAAGGAGGCAGGATATTACAGTCCAAAACATAATCTCTGCACATAGTGCTGTCTCCAGCAATGTTGCCAAGAGCCCACACTGCCTGTAAAGAAAAACAGAATAGTAATTGCTTTTATTCTCAAAATCCCACCAGTTTAACATATGTATTAGAGTTGGGAGACACTCTGTTCTGACTGTTAGATCCTGGACAACATAAGAAGGGCAATGCATTCTGGTTGAGTATTACAGTCAAGCTCATTATATGATTCAGGAATATTTATACAGACCTAAGAGGAATACCATAACACCCAACACGTATATCTCCAAAGACTCTGTAGGCAGACATAGCCTTGCTCTGTCCACAGTATAAGAGATAAGCTCATCTCCCCAGGCTTAGTAACATTCTGTTCTACACTCCTCCTTGTTCAGAGCTAATTTAAATCCAGATGTTCATACCACAGGTCAAGCAAGTCTGTATCTACCCAAAAATGTTGGTGTGGAACAGCCCATGTTAGTATTTCCTAAAAGCCATAAAAGCATGCATTATTTACACAGTCAGATAAGGATGATGACAACAACTAAGATAAAGATGAGAATCTGTATGCAAGATAAACCAATATTCAGAATCAAAGAGTTTAGATGAGCATTGACATATATTCTTTAAGATAAAACTATACAAGACAACCACTGTTGCTGATTAAGCCATATACATGGCAAATTGCAAGGACAGATACTTTCTCCCTTGAGCATCAGTACTACCATAACACCTCATTTTGAGAAGATCAAAAATATCAGAATTAAAGATGCATGAAATTCATCCTCTGTAATATGATGAGAATAAAATATTCCATTGTTTTTGATTTATACATTTGAGCCAAGTGGCATTTTTGATATCACTGTCCACTAGCATGAGAGCTATAACTATAAAAATTACTAGCATTCTATGTGAAATATAAAAGCGATTTTATGAATTCCATGCAAATTGCAGACAATATTTCATCACACAAGAAAGCATACAAAATTCACATTTGCTATTTATTTCAAGTTAGCAGAAGGCTAAGTCACATCAAATAGATACATGTATATGCTTATTTGGTTGGCTTATTTGGCATTTGGCTTCATAGATACATGTATCTATACAACCACTGGAAATACTTCCAATTCTGCATAGAGGACAAAAGCAATCTTACTTATCATGGATAGCAGCTGAATGTCCTCCTCAAATTTCTCTTCAGTTAAAGGCTATGTATTTAGCTGTAGTAAAATGTGTTACAGTGCATAACTTTCTCCAGTCGAACACAGGCAAGTTCCTCAAACAAAATAAACGTGTTTTTCCCTATAACTATTGGAAATAAACTGCTCCTCTAAAAAAACTGACAGAATAAGCCAAATTTGTTACCTAAAGGTAATTCCTGGACAATCCAAAATAAACTTATTTATTCACTTTCAACGTGATGTCAATTGATTTACTGCATTAGATTTCTGCTGTAATGTGTTTGTAAACAGTGGCAAAGAGATGCTACTTTGAAAAACAGACTTCAACCACTCTGGAGGCCCAAATCCACTAGCAAACCCTGCAAAACTAATACAGCTAAAACCAGATGTATATACAGATGTCAGCTTGCTAGATACAAAATAAAAAGAGGACTCCTCTGTACCAGTACTACTAACAATACCATAGGATCGGAGGTCATTAAACTGCAAGTTGTGAAGAGACTAGGAGACTGTTCTGGGGAAGGATTAGTTTGTTTTGTTTCCTACTGTTTTCCAGGCTTCTGCTGTCAGCCACAGCCAGAGGCAGGGCACGAGACTATATTGACCTTTGCTGTAAAACAGCACAGCATTATTACTATGCAACATTTCCCCAAAACTGATCCTTGTCATTAAAACTTATTTTTCATTCCAATTCTTACTCTTTCAAACCCTTGTGACAACAGGTTATCTGAAAAGTATAACCTTGGGTCTGGCAGCTTCATGGACTCAAGATGCAGAAGACAGCTATCAGAAAAATTTAGCTTAAGAGACATCCTGGAAAACATCACTTGTGTTAGAACTGCAAGGAACCACACCTGTTGCTCACCGCAATTTCTGCAGCAATGAGAAGCCTAAGACTTCAGACAGGTTCTAAAAAAACTTGTGGATCTTCTAAAAACATTTAGGGGTGAAGAAAGTTAGAATCTGCAATGATTTCCCTTCATTGAACAGTGACTGACTGTGTGAAGATACAGCCTCCTTGTCTGGACACCCTTACACATACCAAAACAAGGAAGCTGCATTTTACTTGTCTGTGGTCTTTGTTTCGCCATTAGAGCAGTATCTATTTTTAGGATTGACAACAGTGATAATCACTTAATCCAAGAATCCATTCTGATCCCGAATGACAGACTAGCTTTGCAACAGCAAGTCTCACATCAAAAGGTCTGACCAGAGAAGCCAAATAGCATCTCTACTGCTTTACCCCTCTTGATTTTTTTTATGGCAATAAGACTTGGCCAAGTAGTCTGATATCACAGTAAGAGAGGATTGTTGAAAGAAATTCTTGTAATGATAATGACTGACAGGACACCAAGACACAAATAATTGAAATTGAAATGTCTTTAGAAAAATATGCAAGGTTTCCTTCAGCAAGAAAACATCTTTCCTTAAGGAATTACTTTAGCTCTTCAGATAAGTGATGAACGTAAATAATTTAAACTCTCCTCAACAGACATTACCATAAATACAAAGCTCTGTCACGGTTCCCACAGACAACACACAAACAATGGAAGTTTCTTCAGGGTTTGTTTATTTGAATAATGTTCAGTGATTTTCATTTCTTCTTTTGTGCACTCCTCAATATCCAAATGCTTGCCATAACATTTTGGCTTTGTGCTACACATCCCCTATTTTTTTATCTTCTTTCCTGGATAGTTGCAGGGATATCTAATTCCATTAAATTTCAGAGCTTATTAAATAAAAAAAATTTGACTCTAAAAACAAATTCCATTTCAGTACTTTCTAATATCTACATCCAGACCTGAAGATGGCAGGAACCTGTAATTTTAAAATTTATAGCCTGACTTTTTAACTCACAGTTCAGATAGAAAGTTGTGTGTAAACTGAACATGCAAATGCTGCCTTGTTAATTGACAGCATCTATTTTTATACACCTGTATAAATTTCCATCTATTGCTAATAATTGAGATGGGATTGTCGCAGGTCTCCTGTTCATTTTACTCATCGTTGAACTACAGTGTTTTTTCCTGTAGTGTTGAATGACTTCAGTAGTCAGTAACAGTAAAGTGGAAGTTCTGTAAGGTACTGTTAAACCATATGGTGCCTTCTGTGAGTAATCCATGTGTTTTTTGACAACCCTCCACTTTCTCCTGGATGCCGAAGACTTTCAACCATTATTTCATTATGCCTTTGGATATTTAAACCAAGTGCTAAACCAACCACCAACAGTGCATAGAGTCTGTACCTCTCAGTGGTGAAGAACTATTATGAAGTAAGAACCAACACTTTCTCTACATTTGGCTGTTGACACAGAAAATGGATCTAATGCTGGGATGACAATGGTGAAGACTGACTTGCACACAGGTGTGATTTGGTGATCACAAAGAAGGATACCAGAAGGCCACATTCCTAGGAGATGACTCCTACTATGTCCTAACAGAGAAAACACCTTTCTTTCAGTAGATGGGTGATCATAGTTCCTTATTTCTCTCATTCACCAAACAGAGAAAGTAGCTCATACTCACACCTTGGCTGTTTTTCCTTATTTTGATTACTAAGACCCAGCTAGTAGGACCGGTGAGGTAAAAGACAAACAACACTTGGACACCAGACTTACAGGTCACCTCTGGCAAGCAAACAATGGTTTCCAAAAGGAATAGCAATACAACTAGAAATGGAAAAATACCGAGGGAAAAACACATAGATTACTTCAGCTGAAAATGCAAACTTCTCCAAAGCAGAACAGGACAGCTGGGGATGCTCGTGCCATCGGCCATCCAGCAGAGCATGATGACACAGATCTGTCACCGTGAGACAATCTCAGTCATCATCGACAGGGAGCACAATGCCTTGCACGGTTTTTGAAGAAAATTCCATGTTCATCACAAGTTGACATCTGGGTTTTAAATACTGCAGCATGGACAGTCAGGAAAGAACTGCAGCTAAAACACTGCTGAAGCCAGATCAGCCTTAAGCATGTCTAAAGGCGTTGATGGAGTTCTTCAATATAAATAATTTCAGGCAAGCATATCAACATTTCTAGATGCCTTCTGGAAGAAAACAATTGTGATAAGTGGAAGAAGGCTAGGACATATGTCACTGACTAAATCTAAAAATCAGTACACAGAAATGGGGAGAGGTGAGGAGACGTAGTCAAAGTGTTTTTCATAAATAATGTAGATCCTATGATAAATTCAATTTCACTGACAGGTAAAATGGATGCCAAATGGTTTGACCACTGCTCAAAGAGAAAGACTGACATATAATCTGAGAAAGACTGATAAACAATGCAAGCTATGAAAGAGTTTAAGGATGAGAGGGTAATTAAATGTCAGCTCAGTGGGAAACAGATCTTGCAAGATAAATCATTTCAACACGTATCTTATTAATTAAACACAGTTACAGAGATTCCCTCACAGACTACTATAAAACTGCTGATTTAGAATCTTCACTGGACTGTAACTAGCATACACAAAGGAAAATGTGCCACACATTAGTTTAAAACTGGCTTATAAATATGAAAATACATGTGGGAAAATCACGATCAGAAGATAAGGTAAACTGGATTCTGTTCCTGAGCCACTGCTAAGGGAAGTTTCAAATAAAAGACAAAAACAACAGTAAATCTTTAAGACTGACTTACTAGAAGGCAAACACAGTGGATAACTAGCCAGTAAGTAAAATAAAAATATTAAAAATATTTTTGTTTATGCTATATTACATATTGAAAATCATATTACCACTAACATTTTCTTCTACAGATTTGCTATCCCCTTTAGAACAAAGAAAGGCTTACTAAACACAGCCTTCAATATTTCTGTTTCTCTTCATCTTTTGCTATATGGTTGTAGGGTTAGCTTCTGACCCATCTGCCCTGGACATGTCGTTATTTTTTTTGTATTTTCCTGCAATTTTTGTAATTTGTTGCAAATGTAGCAGGAGTTGCTTGCAAATAATAATCTTCCACTGTGAGACATGATCAGGATGATCATTTTACAGGAGAGAAAATTATGACCAAATATCTTCCGGTTTCAAAAATACAGCTTGAGAAGCCCAGGACTAGATCTGCTCAAAACACAGGCCTAACCATAAAAAAAAGCTGCTGAGTTGTCCTCAACTACTAAACAAAATGGAAATATTTCACATTGAGCATATAAAAGCCACAGAACTAGTATCCACTTACTGAACACTGATAGGAGCAAATCACCCAGCATCAGACATTAAGCAATAGAAACATTTTTCTCACAAGCCTACAGTCTCCTTAATTGTAAGAACTTCTTTCCTATTCTCCTCCATACACTACAATGTGTTCCAACTTTAACAAACAGGGTCACAGTGTGACAAATAAAAGCCTCCTTTACTACCCATTCATCTGTTACCAGGGCAACAAGCTGTGCATATACTGCATGAGACAAGAGTCGTCTGGAAAAATACTATGCAACTGTGTACTAATGTTATCCTGTAATACAGAAGTACAAGAGCTAACTTTTCAGTGCTTAATGCTTTTAATTTTTGTCTTGGATGATATTGTGGTGAAGTGCTTGGGTTTTTTTAAAGCTGTTGGGAAGAAAAAGAGAATTTCTTTTATGTTGGCCTGTATTAAAGTCAGGTGTGAGCAGGGCTGCAATCTCTAGAGCTGCAGCACAGAAGCCCACTATGAAAAGGTGTAGGTAACACTGCAGGGTACACTTTCCTTCTTTAGCACAGCTTACTACAGAGCAATTTTTAACTGGTATTTAGAGATTATCGGCAATAGAGAGATCATGGATTTAGCAGCACCTGAACTGCACAGAAGAATATTTTTTGGTAATTACAACCAACCCACTCTGCCTGCCAGCAATCTGAACTTTAACATGACAGCAGTTTATTAGGAGGCAAAGGGGGAAGGAGACAGATAAACTACTTAACTGTGGCCCCTAAGCTCTTCTGTTAATTCACCCATCTTAAGACTGAAGGCTGCACAACTGAATGTAACCAGGTTCGCTCTTCCCACCTGCTCTCTGAACATCAGCAACAACCTAATAAAAAAAGCAAGTTAGGTCTTGCACAGAAGTCTGACCACTAGGAAAAATAAAAAATAAGAGTAGCCCTTACCATACAATTTGGAAAGTAATGCCACCAAGTTTAAAAAACAAACTCTAAAAGGTATCATATAGCTAAGTATGGATGGATTTTCACACGGGCAGAACATAGCATTTATGTGCTATTTCAGCAAGCTCCCTATCACATTTCTAATTTCTACAACAGCAGCAGATTCACTTACTCAAAGCTAAAAAAATGGACACAAAAATACCCCTTATTTTCTTTAACATTTTCTCAAACAACTGAATTCAATTTCTCCTAAAAAAGCCTTTTCAAAAATAATTTAGCCTGAGACAGAACACTGAAAATGGAAAGTTGCAAAGTGGAAGAACTTGAAAGCTATAAGCAACTGAGGAAAAAAAAATCTGTCCTGTGGAAAAAGTTAGGGAACCTGAAGTACAGGTGGTACATTCTGAGCCAGCTATAAGAAAGAAAGGCAAGTTACACAAAGCAATCCAATGTTTATGAGTCGGGACTCCTCCAGTCATGCATCTCAATACAGCCAAATGCAAGGTCAGACATCCAGGAACAGAGAATAGAGGTCGCACTTACAGGATGGAGAACTGAACCCTGGAAGTCAGTGACTCTGAAAAGAACAACGGATCATATGGGATAATCAGCTTAACCTGAGCTCGCAGCCAGATCTGCGGCAAAGAGTCCGCAAAGACACCTTGGATATTTACACACCAAAGTATCAAGGAGAAATGAAAACGAGGTACTATTCCTGCAAACAGCATTGCTGAAAGAGTGCTACTGAAATATCCAGTGCTTGTAGTTTCACCACCACAAAAAGATATTGAAATAAAGGAACATTCAGAAAAGGGTCACCAAAAAACAAACCAAACACCACAGAAATACTCTCATATGAGAATTCAGCACTTAAGTTCATTTGCTCAAGTAAAGCTTAAGCTATGGCCTGCAAGTACCTATAAGAAAAAACACAGAACTAATTGAGCAGACAACGAAAAAAAACTAAATACCTGGACCCAAATTTGTACAGTAAAGGTACTTATTTTCAATTTGGGATTAAGATTGGCTGAAACTAATTCTGTTAACACCATTAACGTTTCATCACCCTCAGTCTTCAAAGCAAGACTATATGTCTGAAATACATCCTTGTTCAAACACAAGTTATGGACCTAATGTGGAAACTACTGAATCAAATGTTTGGTCTGTGCTTTACACTGATCCCTGTGGGCCTCAAAGAATATCCATCTATGCTGTAACGAACTTAGAGAACAAACTATGATTTTCTTCTTAGAGAACAAACTATAATTTCCACTCATGCTTTATTTTCAGGAGAAACAGGCGTGAACTTTCCACCTCTAAAGCAATTATTCAAACAAGGCTCCCTGAATTCCTCAATACACAGAAAAATACCATTAGAGATTAGAATACTAACCCATTACCCCATCAGCTGTGGTTAAATATATCACTTTTAGAAAGAGGAAAATACAATACTTGCTTAGATATCTTAACACACACTAAGCAGAAAGGAACTGTTGTGCAAACTGCCAAATACTACATTTTCTCTAAAGGCCTTCTTACAGGATAGCCTTGTTCCTTTCTGGGGAAGGAAAACAAACAAACAAAACCACAAAAAAACCAAACAAACAAACAAAAACAAAACCAACACTCAAACAAACAAAACAAAATCAAACAAAAAATCCCCCAACTCCACAAACCAAGACATACACACACAAAATTCAAAACTGTTTTCAATCTTTACCTGTTCCTGTACATCTTCAAACTCTGAACTAAGCAGCTCTATGAAGATGGGGACAGCTCCTGCTTGGATCACTATTCGAGTCTGAAGGGAATTTCCCGAGGCAATATTTGTCAGCACCCATGCAGCTTCAAACTGGAAAACAAAGTACAAAAGACAGTTTGCAAGGAACTTTCTGTGCTACACCAAACATGAAGACTAAATGTCTTTTAAAAACAGAAAGAACTGGCTTAGGAAAAATGTGAGATATTATTGATTAACAGACAATTTGCAAAGTAAGATTCAGAATCATAGTGTTAAGAGTTATCGCTATCACTTGAAATAAAAATTGCAGAAGTTCCTTACAAGAACATCGGGTTTGCTGTGGCTTTTCAAATATTTTTTTTTGCTATGCATTTATGTTACCTTTGCCTTTCCTTACTGCCTAAGAGCCTATACACAAAAAAATGTGCTTTCCCACGTGACATGACACCTGCATTCATTGAATCACCAATGAAATTCCTGAAGATGCATGAAAAGACATTGTTTGAAAAAGCTTGATTGATATGAAGCAAATAAAAGACTCAAAGGAGATTAAAAAAAAAAGGAGATTTCTAAAAAAATTCAAAGTGCTTGTCTCCAGCTCTGGTGATCAGTATCACTGCCAAGCGTAATTAAGTGTACGATGGCTTTTTTCAAGACTTGAAGCAAAACTGAGATCCTGAATTAACACTTAGCATATTTTAATTGGTTTTGTAATTTATTTTTATTTTAATCTCAACCTGCAAAAGCATTAACTTTTTAAGATGAAATGCAAATTTTAATACTACCTGACACAGGCCCAAGAAAACACAGATTTTAGAAATCCAGAGTTTGGTAGATTTCTGTATCCTTTTGGTTCAAAAATCAGTACACTACAGTAGCAAATTTAAATCTTATCAGATACATTCAGAATCTATAGAGTGAAAAGGTTATGAAAAGCTGAATGAAAAGGCAAACATCAAGAAACAATAGAAATGGAAAGCTGTAAGCTATAAATGACCAATTTTCATATTCCACTAAAAATCCTGTTGTATCTTCCAAAACTACCTATCTCTGAAGAGCAGCAAGGACTTATATTTAGAGTTTAATCATAAAAACAATTCCTGCTAAGGAGATGCACCAAATTCGGAAATAGGCCTGAATAATATCTCAAGAATTAAGCCTAGACTTGTAAGGCTTTTCATTTTTAAGTGTTATTAAAGACTTTAGTTTTGAAAATACAATTAATCATGTCCTCCTGATCAGCTACAGGAGAAATTATCTTCTAGGAAGATGTGATCAGAATAAACAATTCCAAAACACATCACTGTAATACACAAAGAGAATGGCCTGCAAGATAAAGCTGAAACACAATGTCAAAACAGCAAGGTCCATCGTTAATGAACCAGAAGGAAAACACTCAGGCCAGAGTTTAAGTCCAGCATAAAAGGTACTTGTTTTCCTGTAATTTTACTTTCTCTGAAGTGCGTATCCAGTGTATAGAGATGGAGTGTAACACAACTATTAGTCATCTTTCAACTACAGAGGTTTCTTACTCATATTTCAGAACTTGCCCTTAGGCTTCCTAATGGAAGCCACCAGCTAGAACTACACACAGCTTGGAGACTCACACTGTCTCCAGTATAAGTCATGGCAAGGTGACTGACAGGTCCTCCCTCTCTGTGGACACCTGACTCTCCAGGATGTAGAAACCAAGGAATAGTCACATGCAAATGGCAAAGGTATCTGTGTAGTACTGTTCTTTTTTAAGATTTCTCCCCCTCATCACAACAATATTTTCCACATGAAACAAATGTATTTGTTCATGTATTGTGTAAGTGACCATAGAGAAGAGGGGAGCTTTTTAAGCCTTGAATTCACCTTGAGTAAAAACAGGACAGAGGAATTCCTAATAAATTAGGCCTTCCTACCACTGATATCAGAAGCCTAGTTTTTACAGGATATTCCATTGACAACAGCAAAGAAAATGGAGCATAAAATCCCATAAACATTCAAATTCATTAACACAGAAGTTTCCATATTCAATCCACTATACAAGTAGCTATACTTCCTACTTCACTATTTCAGAATGAGTTGAAAGTCCTTTCCTTCTACAGCTAGGCTACAGTCAGGAATGCCTAGAATACCAAGGTCAAAGGAATACTTTTGGAAACAAGACAAACAATAAAAAGTGAAGACAAGAGGAACTTCCTAACTGATCACAGTAAAAATTCCACATACAGACCCTGAACTGCCAAGCAGGTAGAGAGATTTGGCAAGATGAAGAAAAATTACCCAGGTTGAATGAAATATCAAGAGCAACAAATTCACTTATATTTTCGCTACTTTCTTAAAAATTCTTCAAAGGATAAACTTGCAAGTTTCCACTGACTGATTTTTCCTATTTCCATGTAAAAATCAATACAGGTTACACAAATAAGGCCACAAGAATTCCATTTTTTTTACATCAGACAGCTTACAAATTCTCCACTGAATTGCAAACTAACCAGCTTAAATCTGACACATACTCTTAGTTACTGTCCACAAACTCCTCAAAGGTAGCTAACAGACCTCTGGAATTCTGTGGATATCAATCTGAAAAGTAATACCTATAAACAATTTCTCTAACGTGTAAGAAAACTATCGATTTTCTGTATATCTCCATCTGCAAAATTTGGATTTCACGTGGCATTAACAAACCTGTTGCCTTATGGATTTTGAAACAACACTGATTCTAGCATATATGTTGTATTTAATGGTTACATGTTAAATTAACATGTTTTACTAGATGATTTGTTTTTCTTCACTTTCTACTAGCCCAGAACAACTCTGGCCAGGAAAAAGGACAGTTGAAAATGAGACAAAGGTCCAAGAAAAATTAACCACCATTGTAGCAGATGCAATTCAGTTTTTCAAACCATAGTAAGTTTCAAAGTTTCTATGTTTATAATTACAGATTGTAATTCTAATTCTAAACTGTTTTTTAAATTAATCAAAAATTTAAGTCATAATTCTAAAGATTTAAAACTCTCTTCAATTAGTAAAAAAAAAAAAGACAAACATTAAAAGCCCCAAAGCTTTTTAACTGTTGAGTTCCAAATTTCAAGCTCTGTTTTTGTTGAAGTGCACGGATCCCATTCTATCCATCACACAATGCATCTCAGACCTCTCTCTCTCTCCCGTCCTGTCCCCAGAGGTCTTGCCAGAAACTCCAAAGATAAAACAGCATTTTTAATATAGTGAAGAAAGAAGGGTAGTACAGCTAAACAAATTACTGATTTTTTTTTTATAATTTGCATCACCAAATGCCTTCCTAATCTAGGAAGACAAATATATTTATATACCTGTAATGTACAGTTTTCTTTTCGTTTGAGGAACTCCACAAACCTGGCCACCACTCCTTGTGTGCTTATGACTTCATCTATTGGGGGATTTGGTTCTGTTTAAAATAAAAAGTAAAGTTAGATTTCTTTGTAGGGAAGTTCTCAAATTACTGCATCATAATAATATCCACTAAATACTGACTGCTCTTTTTTGAGAGTGTGTTCTTTTGCTACAATACTTTACTAAAAGGCATCAGATTCCTATCTGTCAACATAAGAAAACTTCAGTCTGAATTTTAAGGTAACGAGGTAACATGATTCAAAACGCTAATGCACTCAGTAATTTAGGCAGATCAACTTCACAGCAGCAGTTCATGTGCAGAGAAACCTCAGTATATCAGCATATTTGAGCCACAGAGACACTGCCTACAACATTCAAACTTGCATCCAAGAGGAGATATCACATCTGCAACACTTAAAACAGATTTCAAGACAAGAAGTGACTATATCTAGCTGACAGTTTGTAAAGCAGACCTTGACCCAGAAATTTCAGTGTGAAATTCAATCCTTATTGCTGTCAAAGTAAAAACATGTACCAGGGAGGTTTCTACATTTTTCTCCACGTAATTTCCTTACCTTTAGAAAGGAGCTTTCGGAACTTCTGGGTGGCTGAAAGCTGCTGTTCTGGACTATTGGAGAAAATCATCTCAATCATATCAGAGGTGATGACTGCACTCTAGGGTTCACATGCAGAAACAGAATGACAGTGATAAGAGAGCAAAAGGGGGGGAAAAAAAATCTGGGATTAGCGGTAAACAGGTTATTACATACGTTAAACCAGTATCAAGTTAATCTCTTATTGGGTAAAAACCTAGGTAAGACCATTATAGACAAGGAAGGTACATCTACGTAAGCAGCATAATTTCAAGAGCAACACTTTTTACTGGAAGCCAAAATTCAAATTTTACTCAAGATATGGTAAAAAAATTACTCTCCAGAATCGTTTACTGGTATTCTCTCCCCTCCTTTAAAATAAATGTAAAATTGTCAGGTTCAACAGAAGGTAGTTTAAACTGGAATTGCAATTACTCTTATGCAAGAACACCACTTTGACTGTGTTATTGTTTAGATTTTTCTAACATGTAAATTTTGACTTATTCTGTTACGCCAAAATGTACAGGACCTGTCATTTCCAGAAGAGTTGCCAAACCTAATGCTTGTCATCATCATCAAGTAAGAGTATTAAATTTTCCATAATACTAATGGTTTCCAATAATATGGCTAATTAAATCAGCAACCTTTCTTATGCAAGGTAAGATCTGACATTCTGTTTACCACACATGTATTTAAAGAAGCATAAGAAAAGTTAGATTTTTTTTCTTCCACTTCTAATCTAAACTGGATCCCAACCTTTAGACAGGGAGATAGATGACAGTGTTGAAAATACTTAAGCTTTGTCTGGAACAGCTAACTGCTCCAACTATTAATGGCCTGAAACTAATGATATTTAACACTGTAAACTGTATAATGGCAATATCTCAGTTAAGCAGAATCCTTTCCTAACTATCTATATAAGCTTCCACACAAACAATTAATGGTATTTAGGATTTGTCTGATATTTTAAGACAAACTCTTGAAGAGTAAAACTATATATTCTATTAATGAACTTCCACATTGTTTATTAGCACTTCTCTGTTTCTCGGTAATTTTCAAGGCCCATATAACCACCAACAGAATACAAACCTCAGCCTGATTTCTATGAAAATACCACTTGCGTAGTCCCAGTATAGACAGTGTGAAGATCAGTGGTCGACCTTTTAAGTGAGGACTGTACTTTCCTCAAACCTCTCTGTTATAGCCTGAAAACTTTACCATTTGTCTTTTCAGGAAGAGAACAGTGGTAAAGAAACGAGGAGAGAGCTTTTTTTTCTAGTTTGTAAAGGAGTTTACGGCCTTGTGCAGACAGATAAGCTATATCTAGCTGTATATCCAATATCCTGGCTAAAAGTGGTGCCACTTGAATGTCTGTTAAGAAAGATTTCCATTGATCCCGTTTTAAACTTTGTAAACTGCAATAACACACTGCCTGATTTGCATGTTCATGTTTCAAGTACTATAAACTTCAGATTAAAAAGAAACCAAGAACTTTGAGCAACAGTTGATAAAATCACCCATAATGGTGAACATCAGAACCAGGCAGTAATCAGCCTGCCAGGACAATGATGTTTTATTTAATTTTCTTGAGCACACATCCTCTGAACAACCACTCACCCTATCCATAACATTTTTCTCTCATGTAATCTGTTTCAGGGTAGTTCACTGAGACAGATGTTTCAGAGCTGTCCATAAGCTCTTTGAACGCATTTTTCACATTCTTCTGGAATTCCATTCCCCTCAAGTCACTGCACAGCAGACCTGCCCAGTTTCAACAAAAAATGACTGTATTCCTTTCTCGTCACTTACAGAAGTCATCTCCATGTTGTTCATCTGAGCCTCGTGGAAGCCACCATCTGACATTACTTCCTCCTCCGCTTCTTCCTCAGCCGTTGCAACATTTCGGCGTTTAAACAACTAAAGAGAAAAAGTGTTACATTTATATTATACAGCCAATACATACACAGCACGTCATGTTAGGCTGCAATAAAAATTACACATGCTATTACATGAAAGAAGCTTATATGCTGGCTACAGGACTTCACCTGACAGTACATGGAGAAAGTTTAGCAGTGGAGTAAATGAAAAAAACAATGCTAAAAGATTGGTTCCTAACATTTCTGAAAAACTTTCACTGATGTTCCCTTCTCTTCTTCACCATCCACCTCTACCTACAAGCATCTCCAGCTTCCAGATAATTGCTTTCTTGTAGAAGTTCTGGGGCTCAAAGACCTGATAAATTGCTCTGTATTACAGATCTTCATAGAACACCTGCAGAGGTTCTGATAAGAGAGATACAGCAGCAAAGAGAAGGCTCTGGAGGATGATCATACATAGCATTGATATTACACTGGGATGAGCAGAATTTGGTTGCTATGACTTAGAGAAGGTACCCAGTTAAGAGATGTCATGAGGAGAGCTAGAGAGGCTACAGCTTCTCTCCTTAATCCAGCTGTCTCACTGGAAGAAACATTAGCAGTAAGAAGATGGCTTTGAGGGTGCTGTTGAGCACAGGAGGGAAGGCTCCAGCATTAAGCCATGTCAGATTTGCACCACTGCAGACAGGCAAAGCAGAGCCCTCAGACAGACCTACCGCTAGTCTTTTCTCCAGAGAAGACAGGGAGGACACTGTATGCAAAACTGCTAAGTGTACAGCAACTCCAGGTCAGTGACAAGCATTCCTATGGAATGTTTTTCCTACTGAACTACTGTATGATGCGCCCACTTAAGGTCAACAAATGTCCAAAAATATAATCTTAAACCAAAATTTATACATTGTCAAGTTATAAGAAAATTCAGAGGCCTGAGGTTGTTTTTGTGATGTTGTTCAGCTAAAAAACCACAAAAAAAACAAGAAACCCCACCAAACAAAAAAATTAATTGAAACTTCAAGACAACAACCTGAGAAGAATCAGGTCAACAAATTATTTCTTCCCTCAAGAAAACCATTACTGCAACTTCTAAGGACTTGGTCGTATCTTTTCATCCTTCTATTCTAGCTGTAATGTTTTGTTCCATCTCACCTCAGCTTACCACTCTTTGAACAGATTAGAGCCACCACAACTCAGAGGAAAATAAATAAACAAAGAACAAAACAGGAGTTCCTCAATCACCCTCAGTGGAAGGTCAGTAAGTTCTGTGAAATCTTTAGGCTGCTCTGGCCAACGCTGCACTTGAGTGAATGAGGAGCAGTCACTCTGAGTCTCAAAGAGCCTGCAGAAGAGGCAGTAAAGTCTGCAAGCGATTCTGATTTCAGACTGACCACCTATGAACTTTGAGGGCAGGAACAACTAAGAAAGGGCTTGGGAGAAGCAAAAGCCAAAGACAGTGCAAGACAAGACCGTTTCAGGACTGGTCCCAGTTACCACAACTGCCATGCATTACCTGCTCTTCTCTCTTTTGCTTCCGCAGCTGAAGACCCTCTTCCTCCCGCCTGCGACGCATCTCATCAGGGTTCAGAGATTTGTTCTTGTAGCTCTTCAGTCGGAAGTTCTCTTTTCCTGAGGTCGTCATGATTCCTTCACAGTACAAATAAAAAGAGAAGACAGAAAAAATTACTCTTCAACACACCATTTCATATTCTGTCTCCACTCCTTAAAATCTGTAGCCATGAATTTCCAGCCACTGCCTCCCTATCTATATCCCATCACCTAACTTCCAACAGTTTAGAAGGTGTAAAGCAAAATTTCACAGAATTGTCACTTTGGTGTGCCAGTTCTTCACATCAGTCGAACAAACTTATATTTTATTCTCTGAGGCTGCAGAGAGTAAGTGAAATATTTTATTAAGAAAGAATTGAGGTCTATAAGGCAAAGTAGATAGCCTGGGCTAAAAAGGAAACTGCACGACTGATTTTTAGCATTTCTCCACACAGAGAATCAGCCAAACTACTTACAAACCCCTGTCTCCACTCAGAAGTAAAGGTGTCTTAGGTGCTTTTTAGCTTGATTTACTTTGAGAGTCAGTAAAGGGGCTTTTTTTTGAACTTCAAATACACACTTTAAGTAAATTTAACAAAACCCTGTTGAAGAAACCCTGTGTTCTTTCTATCCAGACAAGGCCTACAAGGAAATGGAAACGAAAAGAAAAATTTTAGATGAGGATGGTTTAACCATTGAAAATGCTCTGTTCTGCAAAGAAAGCAGTGCTATTGTTCCCCTCCTCCCCACCCCCAGTCTCTAATCCTGTCACTGTTTATGTAGAGGGGCCTTTTTTCAGTCCCTGCTTTCCAAGTACCATCTGTCTTACGTAACTCAGTGGATCAGCATTTTTAACTACCCATGAAAAATTTTCACATGTACACCACCACACTTTGGAGTTACCTAGCATAAAACAGTAAGTATAATACTGTGTGGAAGGAACACATCCCCCCAAAATCAATGGGTTGTGGATCAAGTCTTTACTCTTAGTGCTCCATTCTGCTGCTACTTCTCTCCTTACCTTAATCACCCCCTTAAATACAAAAGGGGTTGGGAATCAAATTCTCAACATGTCGGGATTTCCATGCATCTTCAATACATTGTAACTATCTGTAACACAAAATTTAGGGAGCTACACTATACATAAAGTTACTCTACAAGGCTTTAAAGCTCTCTTTCAAATGCCCTGACCCATTGTAGAAAATACAATATCTCAAATTCCATAAGCCCAGCATCACCAGATGATAAATGATCTCCTGTGCACTTTTTACTTTAAAATGGAGCAACATGAATGTATACAGACTCTCAACAGTTAAGGTTTCCTATTAAAAATACATCAAATCAAGTCTGCTCTAACCTCCTCTTCTTTTAGTTAGCACAAAGAATTTTAAGAGAATAAAAAATAAAGAGGATACTCAAATGTGCTTCTTGTTAGAGCCTCTTTTTAAGTTGTTGCTATCTGACAATCAATTTGAAGAATTCTGACGATCAGAACTTACTTTGACAGAAAACATTTTGGGCATCACTTCAGGAGTTATTGTACTCTGACAACTGAAATTTAAAAAACTGTTCAGGAACACAAACTACTATATTGATTATCAGTCAGTCACGATTTGCACCAAATGCAAAATAAAAACCTGAGCATACAGGTAGGTAATTCAGCAGCCTAATTTTGCTGAAAAGGCTGTTCTGGAAATTACTTTTTTTTTTTTTTTTTAATAAAGGTACTACAAAAAGATAAATCTCAGAATGACAGAAGTTCCCTACATCATTCTTAACATCTCTGAGACTCCCTTCTTCCTGTGTTTACATGTTTGTGCTTTAAGTGTTTGTGTTTCTTACAGTATGCTTGGCAACTACATTTTCTTCCCATTTTTAGTTCAAGTGACTACTACCTGTATATTAAACTTACTATCTGAAGAAGCCCTGAATTTCAACTGTAAAAAGAAGTTCAGGCTAACAAGTACTCAGAATTCCTTTTGTTCCTAAAATATTTTGAATAAAACATTTGGTGTATTTTAGAATTAGCAATATGAACTGAAACACCAGATGGACAACCATGAGCTAAAAGGACATGCCAAACAGAAAAACGGCTTTGCAGACACTCCAGTCACTCTGCCCCTGAACATGAACAAACACGGGCACATGCCACATTCCAAACAAGATCTCGGGCCCTCCACAACGTTATTAATAATTCTCCACTTTTGCCTGAAACCTGTCTTCCCAAACTCACAAGATTGTATTTGCCTTTATTTGGGATTTCAGGACTTTGATAAATTCCTGTGGTCCTTTCATACCTTCACTTTCAACCCCTACAAGTTCTTAATCTCAATAAATCCTTGACAGGGAACATCTTCATCCCTTAATACTGAAATTCATCTAATTTCTATTATGTAGCCTCTCCATATAATGTTCTACTGTTTCAAAATTTCAATGACAGTACAAACTTCATCATAAATGTTTCTTTAGTGTATTCTTCCTTACTGTATTTTTTTAACTAGTTTCCCCTCATCTCCCAACTTGCATATTAATTTTCTTTTGATTAATTTTGCTTCTGACTTTAAGGTAATAATTTCCATTTTCCTTTCAGAGTTCTATTAGCTCACTCCTGCTGTACCTTATGTCATTGTTTCATTTATTGAAAACACAGACATAGGATTTACTTGAATTCTCTCTCTGATTTTACCTCAACCCCTCTACCCAACAGTTTCACAAGAATTATCTTCTACTTCTTACACCCTTTACAAGCTTTAGCCACAACTTTTGGCTATGCTCATTTCTGACTTTCAAGACAGCTCATTTTGCTGACTAATCCCTTCCTCTATCTTCTGAGTAAACTGTACACTTATAATCTTTTCAAAATAGTTTATTGGGTTTTACCTGGGAGTACAAATGCCTGCCACCAAATGACTGGGAAGAGTTTCTTTTATTAAAGGTGAAAAAATTAAACTCTCTCCACCACTGAGAAGTTACTGATTCAACTAGCAATTAGTTCAATAATTTATTTTATAGCAGGCCCTCACTGGTAGTAAATAAGCAAAATCCCAGCACATAGCCACAAATCCATTTTACATGCCTGCCAATCTAACCTGTATAACCATTAAATCCATAGTTATTTTCTAAAAGTAGCTTTTATGTCCTGAATAGATCTTAAAATCAATTATTTCTTCACCATTCTTTTACTGGTTTCCTGACTACTGATGAAAAATTCAATGACCCCATCAGGGATTCCATCTAGCCCACACATGCTGCTAACATCTTCAGACCTACTCAAGTGTGTGAGCACACAATGGCTTTTCAGGACTGAAAATACAACAACTCTATGTTAGTTGTTACAGTCATCCAAGGATTGTTTGCTATAAATCTACTCTATTTTTCAGGATGCAGCCTTTCCCCCACACTAAGCAACAGAAGCAAACCAACTTCAAACTGGCCTTCAGTAGCTTTGTTGTGACTTAGCTGAAAATCTTTCAGTGGTCAATAAGTTCACCCATGTAGCAAACAGCAAACCCTAGATTTTCTCTGCATTGTCAAAATTAATGCTACTTCTGGTGAAAATCTGTGGTGGTTGTCATGGAAATGTTCTACACATCTTTTCTCTCCTAAAGATAGCACAGTATTGTCCACATTTTTTATACTCCTGGTTACAGATAAAAACCTCTGGAGACCTGGTAAGGGACTTTCATGGTGTATTTTCAGGCTTTTGTGCAATAGCACTCAAACTCCATATGACACTTTCTCCTCCTCAGTTTGGCTACCACTAAAAAAAAAAATTTAGTAAAATTAAACTCTGACTATTCCTGAATGTTTGCATTTCTCTAAGGAAAATATGATCCCAATTTTTTTGCTGATTAAGACAAGAACCCTACCAAATGTCAATGTGTTCCAAGCACACACTTCTAGGGGAAATAAAAAGTACTGCATTTCTCCTTGCTCATCAAGTAAAAGAAATTCAGAAGCACCGGGAAATACAGTCACTTACTGCCATGACCTACCTTGTCCCAAGCAATCATCTATATAGGAACAAAAATGAACTCCCTGCCTTCTTAAATCAGATATCACTGTCACTAGACTTAAGAGCTTTGCCAGAAGGAATGCCATGTGACTAATACTCTTGGATATTCCACACGTCAGAGGTACCGAGATGTAAAAATAAAGCCCTTACAAATCAAGACCTGTGTAATAGTATATATAACCACATACATTTTTTATATGTAAGAGTAACATATACACCATATACATAGAGCTGAAACCAAGATTATGAAATACACTGCTGATATTAAAGACTGCTGGAGACAAACTTTCCTTCTTTGGAAGTAGGAGTGGGAATAGCAAACCTATATAAGACATTCTACTTTCTAATAGGAGTATAATGGAAGCAGAAGACTTGAAACTTAAGGCAGAGAAGGAGGTTGAAGAGAAACAGTGTGGAAAAAAAAGTATCTAAACATCCATGATCTTCCATAATATCAGTGTACATTTCCTAACTAACGGAGCAGTTGACAAAAGGAAAGGACTCACTGGAGGCAGACTTGTGAGCTCTGGTGTGCTGTCAAACTGCTGTCTCTCCTTTTGATTCCTGCCAAAGAGAGAGGGAAACAACCCTGAAAGGACAAGCCATGCTGGAAATGGCACTGTCAGGACAGAACTCTAAGCAGTGAGAGAAGCTGGAATCACTCAAGGTAATAGGAGATTTTAGCTTGTGTATTGGCTCTGCCATGGGACTCTACACTTCCCAGAGAAGTTACATCACAATCATGCTTCTTGACATAATGCCAAATACCTACAGCACAGCCTGGACAGATGTTTGAGCAATTCGCTGAGGTGTGATTACAGGATGCATCACCCTCTGACACTCTTTAGTGTGAGACTAGAAAACCTATCCAATTTAAAGAAACTAACTTGAAAGTAGCACTTGATCATTCTTTGCTCTCATCAACACACTCTCTACAAATTCAACATTTTGGCCACAAATGTGTTTGGGTTTTTTTCCCATGAAGCACAGATTTTAGAAAGTCCTTCTAATTTGTTTTTTAGCAATTTGAAGGCAACAGATCAGAATGCTAACAGAACTACTTAAATCATGTGGAAGTAAACAGTTAGATTTCTTGGAGGTGACAGACAATGAAAGGTCTTCATAATACAACCATGAATAATACAGGGCATAGAATGATAAAAAATATCATCTGGGATTCATGCTATTTCCCAGGAAAAACTTCCAGAGCAAAATCCTATGTACACATCCACCAAGTCTCCATACTGTTGTTGACAGTGCTATCTGAGGGGAAAAAAGAAATTAAAAGAAAAACAGCAGACTGACTTCACTGTCACCTCCTGCTGTTTGAAAAACCAGCTCGGCTAGATTAATATTCTGGTGAGGATGTATCTGCTTCTTTTCCAAAATTATTTGACCAAAACATACTGGATTACAGGGGTCTATTGGAATGCCCATCAGTAGAAACACCCATATGACCTGAGGGACAGGTATTACCTTCTAATTTCAAATGGCTTCAGACTCCTGTAAAGCTCAGGACATCTAGAGGAAAGGATATTTAATCATCTCATCTACAAAAAGCTATTGTTCAAGCACAGCCATTTCTCAAACCTATGCTTAACCTTCTCTAGCTGTAAAATGGGATGGGGAAACATGTCTTACAGGCACCATAAAATTAACAGTTACAGTATTTGTATAGACTTACAAAGTAGGTTTTGCTGATGATATATCAAATCCTAGCACTTAGAAGGAAACAAAATTGTGTGAATTTCATTTTCTGTGGTTTATGGAAGCTGCAGCAGCAGAACAGCAGGGACCCACACTCCTAGGGCAACCATCACAGGAGAATGATGGAGAGGAAATGAAACCAGCACCTTCTGCTATGCAAAAGGCCAGAGGATTAAAAGAGCTTCAACTCCTTTAACCCAAGAGTTGTAGCAAAATATGGATAAAACATATAGCCTTGAAACAGGGTTTAGACTTGTAGGGACTTTCTGTCAAAAACTGGAAACAAGAAGGGGACTTCTTCATGGAACTGCTGCCCATCTCCATATTTGGCAAATGCAGGCTTCCTAGTCCTCCTAGCGTTTCTCCCTGCCCAATAGTAGGCCTTAATTCACAACTGCTGCTGTTCTAGCACTTTTATAAACTTGTCAAAGAGCAAACAAGTATTAACCCACCTAATTTACAGCTAATTTAGTTTTAGGCCACTTGGCAAGTTGGACTGGTACCTGCTTAATAATGAGAATAATCTTAAAACAATTCATACAAGGCCTGAAAAGAAACAACACTGCACAATATGGAATGTGATACTACAGACCAATTACAAACCTCAACATTGACTGTTGCTCAAAAGTAAACAAAAAAAAATGGAGAAAAAATAGACTGTGTTGCCTGAACAATGTCAAGGCCACCTGATGTCAAGTCTGCAGGGATGTCCCATTTTGACACCTCATCTTGACAAGATGAAAACGTGGTTAAAATAAGACACCATATCAAAGGTATTTCTGCAGAATTACTAATCTTGAAGGGTAAAACAATTATACTCCCAGGTAACATTCAGAAAAATTTTCTGTGCTTACAAAAATAGGTATTTATTAAGACGTGCTTAAAATCAGGTCAATATCAGCTTGCCAGGTCCCTGATCTTCTTTACAATAAAAAAAGACCACAGTCAAAACAAAAAAACAAGGAAGCATACTTCTGGTTGCAGCAAAAAACAACCACTAACAGAAATAGAATTACTTGACACTTGGTGCTGTCTCAGAAACTGATCTGACACATCAGCCTGTACTACTACCTAAGCACACTGACAGCCACATAAACAGACACTTAATTTTTAAAAGCTTGAGGATTATGCACTTTTTCTTTCTTTTTTGAAGAAACACTGATGACAACATTAAGCAGTAAAACATTTACAATATTTGGTGGAAGGAGAGGACACCCCCCCCAATAAAAGATTACACACAGTATATCCAGCACTTCACTATACATTTTCTATCATAAAGACATTTCCAACATGTTTTGAGTCCCATTTTTTAAAGGTCCACTTTGACTTAACACGGCAGCAGATAAAGCTTTCCAAGTTCCAGAAAGCTTTTAACTGGAGCAAGAGGGTAAAAAAAACTGACTGTCAAAGTCAGGTCAACTTAAAATGAAAACTTCTTCAAATTTGTTACCTGAGACTTTCTGATTTGAGTTGAAAATGCAAAACTCCTTTACTGCATTCAAAGACAATGCAGCACAATAAATCTGTTTAAATGAAAAAAACCTCATTTCTATGAGGTTTCTGTTTTCTACAGTCCACAATCAACCTGCAACCAAAAAGTTCCCACAAGTCATAAAACAAAGCAGCTAGTGATGGGGAATTAAACTTTTCAGCCGCACAGGATTATACTAACATTAAAAAAATAACCTCACGTTAATGTGCCCATCTACATGAAACAACAGAAGTGATTATTCCTGTGTAATGTAATCTGTTTTTCTTTTAAAGCAGAGATACATTTGTATTTTGATTAAGATTACAGCTTATCCTCCCTGCACTTACAGAATGAGCTGGCCAACAATGTATTTTCTGTAAGGTCATATCTGAAAAAGAGACTGTTTTAAAAACATCATTTGACAGTCATCATCTGTCAGAAAAAAGATCACCCTAAAATTGCTAACACCCTGAACATTCTTTACGAGAGAACAAGAGTGCACCTTTCAGCATTTCACATCATGAAAAAAAGAAATCCCTAACACTTTAAAACAAATTGGGTTAAAAATAAACTAAATTATTAATTAAGTTGACTTTGTAGTTTCAAGCAACTTTTTTGTGGAGTTGGGAATATCAGAAGGTGCAGAAAGCTACCTTATCCTTCCCGTGATGACAAATTTGCCTGCAACAATTGTATTATTTGCTGTGACTCAGCACTATGCAAGGCGTGGGCAAACCCACAGAATAACGGTAAGTCAAAATTCTACTGATTTCATACTAACTTTGGACATCAGCAACCAAAAGAGTCATGTAACAATGATGCATCAGCCACATCAAGAAAAAACCCATAGGCACCTTAAAGCTTGGTTATGCTCATTTTTCCTCCCTAGTACCCCTCCTACCAAAAGCTCTTGAATCCAAGACGCAGCACAGAGAGACACATCTTTCTCCTTTCTGATCACTTCTCAATTAAAAAAAAAAAAAAAAAAGGTAGAACAGGAACACACAGGCCAGTTGAAGAAGGGATCATGTAGAAGCTCTACAAGGAATCCTTGTATCTAAGAGGCAATCTCACCCTACTTCAGACAAAACCCACAACATTCTAATAATCACATTATTACCTGACTTTACTTATAGGTACCTTGCAGTTTGTGTGTCACCAGTAGCAGGCTTGTTTGCCAAAATGACATTTTCATAATTCAACTGGTGAATTTGCTTTCAGGTCTAACCATAGCACTAAATTTGGTAGTCGTGCAAGGCATTGTTTGGAGATAAATACATTCAGGATGTTTAGTCACAGATTATTTCTTTTATGGTTCTAGAACTGACATATCACTTACATTTAATCTCAACTTTAGTTAAAATAAAGCATCAAACCAGTTAGCTTCTCGCAGAACATATGAATCCTCCTGTTGAGCCTGACAAGCAGTCTGAACTACCAAATAAAAATGAAAAAAGATAAAATAATTACTCTGGATCAAAAGGAAAGCTGTCAGCAGCTGGTGACTAGCTAAATCTTAAGCCTTATGTCACACTCTGCAAACTCAGAGTCTATTACTCTCCATACAAATCCAGGAATAGTTGTATTTCTTTCAGTTCCAATGCTTTTAGCTTCTGCCTCCTCATGACCCTAAGCATTACTTATGTTTCAAGAAAGTATTCACATTATCCCAATTCAAAATTTCCTCTATGTCACTGAACTCCATTTACTCCTGTCTTACATGAATGGACCAACAGAAGTGACCCCATGATGTTCAGTCTACCATCACTTTCTAACACTCTTTCGTACCCTCCTACTACCACCATCCTTTATAAACCAATTCTGGGGAAAAGAAATTTAATGTCACCTGTCTTAGACTGCCTCTATTTTTTATCCTCAAAATGAATTATTAAGCCTGCATGATGTTTAATTCAGTTCAAGATATTCATGAGGTGGCATAATATAATTTCCAGTCCCACCGTTCCACAGATTTCATATTTAGCAGAGATTTCCATTGAGTTTTTAGTTTAAACTTACCTTTGCTGTTTTTCCAGAATCACTCTACCTTCTCCAAGGTAGAGAGATTTCTACAGGCTTTGCATTCTATTGCTGGCATTTTGTATCTTGAAAACTCTATGTTCATTCTTGGAAATAACATCAGGCAGTTTAATCCACTTACTTGCTTGACAGACTTCAAAAATTGTAACAGACTAGATTTTTTTTTCTTCCAAGTGGAAAAAAGTTGACTTGCTACTATAATGCTGCCCCTTTGCTCTGCAATTTACATCAGCATTTTTCTCATTACTATTATTATATTATTTAAACAAGTACTTTCATTATGCTTTAGCCCCTCAGTATGAAGCTGAATAATTTTCTTATCAGTTCAGCTTCCACTCGTGTTCTCTGAAAAAG